AAAGCAAAGATGTTTGTTTTATAAATTGAAAATTACAGATTATGACGATACCTGTAAATTTTTAAGCAAGTAAATATAAAAAAATAGAATCAAACTGAAATTTTAGAAAAAGAAAAAAATATTAAAAAGGTGATAATCAATGGGCCATGAACTCTCAAACTGGGACAGAGTAGTAGGGTTACCATAACTAGCACACTTACGTCCAGGAAGACCATATCAACATGGTCTAGTGGTGGTTTCGGCTTTATCACCTCTGAAATGTTATATAGGACATACTTATAAACTATTATAACTGAAAATATAAACAGGTAAGAATACCCAGAACAGGTTTATTTTAGTAAATACATAATCACTTAAAAACCGATTTTGGAAAAAAATAAATCATACAAAAATGAATCTCTGAATTGAGCAAATTCTTGATATTGCACCTGTTATCGAAAGGATTTTGTTCAGGTGGTAAGGCATTTAGACCTGTAGAATATTCTTGAAACTCTTTCGGTGTTAACAATTCTATTATAAAAGCTTAATTTTATTTGTGAATTATAGAAAAAAACTAGGTAGTGTACAGCACAGTTTAGTGCCCAATATCAGGAACAATGTAAAATATAACAAAAATGAATTTATTTATATTAATAAAGGCATTTATTATATTTTTATTATGAAATTCCAGTTTTGACCTGGGTTCAAAAACTGATCAGGCTCAGCAAAGATATCAATATCTCAGCTAATAAACAAGTCCTTAATATACATGCTTATATTTGAAAAGCAGGTTGCCATTTAAAGAAGTATAAATAAAACAAAGGAATTAGATTCATTTTTTTAAGTAACGGTCCAATTAATCCAATATTTAAAATACATGATCAATTTTTAAGTATTTCTTTCTAAGAATTGTCACTAATGAATTTTAAGAATATGATCTAGAACTAAAACTTACCAATTCCGGTCTTTAGACATTCTTCAACACAATCACTGCCAACTTGGATATTTGAACTCTTACGTCATGCCATGTATGTTTTTATAAGAGTGTTCTATAAGACTTATGTGGTATGTTCCCATGTTCAGCCATCTATTTACACAAGTTTGTTAGGTTGGTTATTTGCTGTTTTTGTCTGATACTCTTGCCTTTAATGTCAGTATTAAATTCTCCAACCCCTCTTTCCTCATTATGCGTCCCTAAAATTTTAAATGTCTTTTCTTGTTCCTAAGTACACAAGTATCCATTTTGTTTCCATTTTCCTTAAAACTTCCTTGTTATTCACATGCTCCATCCATGGTATTCTCAGCATCCTTCTGTAGAACAACATGTTGCCTCAAGTATTCAATTTTCAACATTCACTGCCATATTACATAGCCATTTAGCACGGTTTTCTTTATTTCTAATGAAGTTTTCTTGTTTCCTGATACTTTCCTTTGGTAAATTGAATTAATTTGATAAAAAGAGACATATTAAAAGAGGAAAATTTATTTAAAAAAAAAAAAAAAAAAAAAAAAAAAAAAAACAAAACAAGCATAGTGGTAGTAATAAAAAATATATATTACCATTTTATGGTAATATTGAAATGCAACAATAATCAACAAAAAAGATTAACAAATCATTGTTGAATTTCAATATTACCATAAAATGGTAATATATATTTTTGTTTACCCTGTGATAATTTCTCTTTTAATATATTGATTTTTATCACACTGATAAAGTTTTGTACCCCTACAAAAATATTTTTTAAAAAGTGTATTAAACTAAAAATATAATGTTATTGTACATCCTTGGCAATGGCTTTTGAAACTATTGAATAGACACATATTAGAGGCAATAAGCAACATGGCACAAGACATACGCATACATGTCATGCAACAGAAAAGAACTGACCACACATATAATATAGTTTTAAGGTATGCTATATTTACAGGGTAAAAGTACTCTATATACAGGATAGAGCATGTGTAAATATAAGAAGTGTGGATAATGTCAACATAAAGCGGTGATGATCTGTTTCATGCTTGAACACAATCTTCAAAATTATGTTCAAGCATGAAAGACTGTCACCACTCAGTGTCCACACACACTAATATCTATTTCTTCTCAAAGAATATAAACAGAGAAATAACATGAATAATGTTGATAACAATAAATGAAGATGCCCATATATGTAATGATATTTAAATGAATAGAAAACACTTTTCAGGTGATTGGAAAGTGTTTTTTAATGTTAAATGCTTGATATTCTGTATTTGAAAAACAAATAAAAAAAAATTTATAAATTCATCTTTATAATAATTTTTTTTTTAGGAATAAATAAATAATAAATAAATAAATAAATAATAATCATAGTGCAAATTTTATAGATAAAATAAAAAAATTTTTAAAAACCTACAAAAAATAAACAAACAATTTTTGGTAAAATTGAAATTATATAATTAGATTTTACTATTAGATTTTGGATGATTTAGATGCTGAACAGGAATAATCTTTGATTAATTAATTGCTTCAAATTAACAATTTTTTAAAACAAAAAAAAAAAAACAGTTTTTCCCATCAGATAGTTATAAGACTAAAAAGATGACAAAAATGCCTTTAATTAATATTTAATGTAATTTTATAATTAAGTCACTTATCAGACATTCTGAAGGTAATATGAAGACAGATGAAGATCTGAAAAATCAGTCACACTTGGTTATAGGGGGCAAAATTGGGCTGCAAGTAACAAATTGAACTTTCTTATTAGAGGCATGATGGAGTAAGTGGTTTGGATTGAGGAATCAGAAAACTGAGTTTAAATTCCAGTCAAGTTTGTTACATTCACTTATATGCAACTACCCTTGGGAAGGGGTGTAAATCCATCTCTTCTCCCTCCAGCTATGGGTAAATAGCAGGACAGACTAGGTCCTATAGATGAAGGACAACTCTAAATTGAAAACCTGAGTGGTTGGCAACTAAACCAGCTTCCCTATCAGAACCTGGTCTGATGAGGAGAGTAATTAAAACCTCAGTGGCACAAAAAACACAAGAGCTGTTAAAGAGCAGATGAACTCCCCAGAGTCAACAGAAATCTACCCCAACTATGGGCCAAATAGCCTCACCAACCCACAGTTGGTCAAGTATAGACAGTACAGTTACATTCCTGAAGAGATGGTAAATCAAAGAGGGATTCTTCCAACAAGAATGAGAAGGAGTTGGATTGAATTGGTAAACCAAACATTTTAAAGGTAGAACCAAAAGTTCTATATAGTAAAATTCAAAATGCCACAATTTTCTCTGAATTTTCTTGGATGAGGAATTATTATTATTTATAGTCAGACTATTGTCCCCATCATTCTTTTTTCTTTTCTTTTTTTTTTAATAAAGTTAACCCAGTACAAGGCCCAAGAGCCACTCAATGTAGAGAATCACTGAATGAGGTGTGTGATATTAACATAAAAGGAAGTAGGAAGTTTTTTTTTTGTTTACAGATGGCTCAAGAACTGGGAACCACTCAAGGTAGAGGGTTACATTAAGGGGCAGTTTATATGGATATAAGGGGGAATAATGGTTAACTCTAGATTCAAGCAGGTTAAAATTGTAATGATCAGGGAAACATCCTCTTGGGAGTCTGTTCTATAGAGCTGTGATTTGTAAGAAAAAGCTGTTACTTCTCACTGATGGAAAACAGAGGGAATGTAAGCACTTTGCTACAATGTAAGTGGAATGGTGGGTACTAGATGTGAAGCTTTGAATTGGTGGGACCAGGAAATGTAGTACGTCTGAGCACTTTCCATGGAAGTAGCAATAGAGCAGTGAGAAGCTCGCCACATCCCGTATGTGCGAGAGAGGTTGGAGGGTGGAGAATAATTTGTTACCCACAAGGACTCAGAGATACTTTTGAACTATTGAGACTGGAAAGTGACAATGGCAGCTCCAGCCCAAATATGATAACAGTATTCCATTTTTGGTCTGATCTGGCTCTTGTAAAAATAGAGGCTAGCATGAGGTGTCAGGTACTTACTGGAGCGGTACAGGGAGCCAATCATAATTATTGTGAGGATATGGAGGATAGGTAACAGTTGAAGAGGTTAGGATTGTAGCATTCAGGGAAGCATCCACACAGGAGTTTGTTCCACATAATAGAGGTCCTTGGGAAGAAGCTTTCTGAACAGAACATCCTTTTTACCAAAGGAATACATAGAGAATGAGGGTGATTTTGTTTTTGTTGTCACAAAATTTGGGCCATTGTGCCCTCAAGTCTTCTTCAGGTGTCTATCGCACTGGATAATCTTCAGGTAATTAAATGGACGGCAGAATAAAAAGAATCTATCCTAGTAGACTAAATAATGAGGTCAGTTCAAAATTCCCTGAATATTACCCAGATCAATAATAGACACCTGAAGAAGGCTGGAAAGTACAACAGTTGAAGTGTTGTGATAATAAAGATGAGGATATTAGTCTGGATGTAAATAATATAATTAATAGCACTATATTATCAAAAGTAGCCTAATATTGTAACCCTGCTTGGCTATACAAAAATTGATGAATTAACATGCTCAGGTTTCAAGTTACTTTCATTAACTGAAATTTTGCAAATCAAATACAGAAAAAAATATTCTTGAAAATAAATTAAAATAAGAAAAAAAAAATTAACTATTTAAAATAATATTAGATAAATATAAATTATCAAAATTACAGATAATTAAGTTTATTTACATTGATAAAAGCTTTTAAAAGTAATCATTTTTTGGAGAAACTTATTTAAAAAAAAAAAAAAAAAAAATCTGCAGAAAATATTTTTATAAAAAGCCCCAAAATTAGTTTAATCAAGATTAAGCATAAAAAAAATGTATTTACAATATAAAAATAGATTTTTCTAAATTTTAACCAATTATATTCATAAGTCATACTTTTTCAACATCCAAAATTTAAAAAAAAAAAAAAAAGTTATGATTCAAATCATTTAAGGAGGTACCAATGTTCAAGACCAGTAAACATGAAAAGTCTTAAAATGAATGCTAAGTACAAAATATGTACTTACCAAAAACCTCAAGAACTGCACTTGCTGTATCACAGCCAGCATCATTGGATATAATACAAGTATAAATGCCTGCATCTTGGGCTGTCACAGATGTAATCTCCAAATAGTGAAAGTCCAAGGATGGATACATCTGGAAAATAAATAAAATCAAAGTGTTATTTCAAAGATATTGATTTTAATTCAGACAGAAACTCTTCTCCATACTTGAAATAATAATATATATCGCATAGCCACTTGAATTATATACATCTCTCATGCAGCCACTTGAATCCAAGGATGTCAGTCTACTAGTGTGGCTAGCTAATCCCCATTGCAGACACCAGTTCAGGCACATTTGTGGTTGTTCAACACCCACAGAGCCCACCTGTAGTTTAAACTGCAACTATGCAAAACAGAAATTAGTTGTAGTTTCTGGGAGAGAGCGCATTATCTAGCATGATCAACAGTCTGAACAAGGTTAGCATGCTCAAACCTTCGGTCACAACCCATGGTAGAGTTTTCAGGCACTTTCCAAAGGTGTCATGCACTGGGATTGCCTCCCCCCAGGCCGATAAGAAAGTGAACATTCTAACCACTCAGCCATGTGCCCATTTTATATATAACACACACACTTTACGTGTGTGTGTGTGTGTGTGTGTGTGTGTGTGTGTGTGTGCAGTTAGTGTCATGATTAGTAGATTGGAACAGGAATTCAGCAAGTCAAGTTTGTTGCATTCACTTTTGCACAAATACTTTTGGGAAAAGTATGACTCCATCTCTCAACCTGTGAGTTACGTAGCAGTGCAGACCTGGCTCTCTAGCCAAGGTTGGCAACCAGCCTAAGAGAAGGACAATTCTTAATTCAAAACTCAGCTACCTGAAGTTGTACAAAGATGGTTAGACATGGGGGGAAAGAGTGCAGATACTATGTCTGCAAAACAAAAACAATATATTTCAACAGTGAGGGATAATCTCTTGACTATCCCAAATGCTATTGACACCATCAGGTGTCATGTGTCACATACACACACAAATCTCCAAAGATATTCTCAGCATAATCCACTTCCCAAAAATCAGAATATCGATTTTTGGAAGAGGGTTGGATAAAGAGCTTTTCACTGTCCCCATATATACAAAATGTGCCAGGCAATTTAGAATGAATTATAAAGAAAAGTTGAAACTAAGAAAAAGTGAAAAATGTCATTCAATAAAATCAGCCTCAGTTTCAAGAACAGCTTTAATGTGGCCTTAGAAGTGATTCATACCAAACTTTGTTTAAGCAACATTAATTTCAGTACATCTAAGAGTCAAGTGTCCTATACAATGTTATGGTGAAAAAAAAGAACAAATATGATTACTTTCTTCCTTCAATATTGCCTTTCCAATATATCCTATAGATCAAAAGCATTTCTGTATAACAAGTAAATTTATTTTTTAAGTATCACATTGGTTATAATCATTAACAAAGAAATTCACATTCAAATATGCCCGGAAATAGTAATGGCTGACTGCTTGTATCCAAGTATGCCTGTTTACTAAGGCAGCTTGCCAATCCCTGTTGCAGACATCTGCTAAGGCACATTTGTTTGTTCAACACCCACAGAGCCCACCCATGATTTATACTGCAACTATACTGAGTGGAACTTAGTTACAGTTTTTGGGAGAGATTATCTGGCAGGATCAAGTCTGAACAAGTCACTCCCTTGATGACAATAACTTGTGAACTTATGCTAGCTCAACCATCAATGACTCCCAGATAATTCTGTCTACATAATTTCACTCGTAAAGTTTGGGTCAACTTGTGGTATGGTTTTCAGGCACTTTTCAATGGTGTGGCATGCTGGGATTGCCTCCCCAGGCCAATAAAGTCACCTTTCTGACAAATCAACCATGATGAGAATCAGACCGATATCTCATGGTTGGAAAGTGAACATTCTAACAACTTGTGCATGTACCCATATGACTAGGAATATAACAGATAAAATGAAAGATACTATGTACAAATCTATATAGACTAAAAGTGGACTGACTATATCAGTAGCTATATATGGTGAGCACATGATATACCTAGGGGCTTGCTTCAGGAATTACTAGCCTGCCACACGATTCCTTGTCTTTCACTAGTGTATTCTCTTTTACATTAAACCTCTCTTTCATCTACACACATGTTGCAGTTTCTTCACTTGAGTATGACCTTTGTCTGTTTGTAACCTCTTTAAGGATACAACATATTTAAACTATAGGAATAACATCAAAATATATAGGTGAAACATCAAAATTTAAATTAAAGAATATTTGAACACAAAAGGGATCTTTTCCAAAGAATACACTCAATGCATTATTCATTATAATAGGTCTGAATATAATTTTGACTTAGTTTTAATATTATTTTTAATTAAAGTGCACTAATTTTGAAATTTCTCATGGTAAATCTACATTCAGGATCATACAACATGCCCTTACCAAACAAAACTATTACTATTACAATGTGGGATATTTAAAAATAGAAAGAGGGTACTTTGCCGATAAATATTTTTTTATTATTATGAAGGCAGGTAATGTTAAAAATAACAAAGCACAGATTTAACACAGAAGTTTATTTTATGGGATAGCAGTGACAGGATGGAAAACAATTCATCACTCACAAAGTTGCATAATCACTTTTGAACTCTGTCATGGTTGGATGATGAGAACTGGGCAGTTACCAGCCCAGATATGGCAGAAATACTCCATTCTTGATCCAATCTGACTCTTACATGACAGATTGTGCTCAATGAGGTGGTGGAAGTCAGTTAAGAATGGCCCTTGTTGTTTAACATGGAGCTAGAATCAAAGTTCAATGCAAAGAGTTTGACAAATAAGTGATAACCTCATGGCCATTTATAATGGAAGGCACTGATGGGTTGACTATTGAGAATTGTTTACAGTTTTTCAGAACTCACAGTATATGCAGCTAACGTTGAGAAAACAAAAAGAATCAATCTGCAAGACAAAAAGAATGGTCAAATCTTTGTATAATTTCTATCTGAATTCCTGTGATGAGGAATTATCATTCTTTACAGTCAAAGTAATATTCTCATCTTTGTTGTTCCAACAGTGGTTCAGACATTATTTTATACAGCTTTCTTCTGGTCTATATTAATCTGGGTAACCATCAGGAACTCATTATTTAATTTGGAGGTGGAGGATAGATTGATCTCTTTCCACTATACCATGTTTAGGAATATCAAGTCTTGTTCTATTTTAGTATGAATCAGTTATTGCTAGCCCTGTTTCAACAGAATCTAAATCTGTACTTGATGGTTCCAATCTGTATTAGAATGACTGCAATTTCAAGTTTATAGACAAATCACATGAGATACTGGGATTTCTTACTAGCCAATAAAATAGGGCACTTCTTGATCTTATTCACCATATTCTTGTTCTTTCTTGTCTTGAGGTCAGAATGCTGCAATCATTTGTCTGTATCACCATTCCTACTTTGTAAACTTTTTGTCTTATTAGTGTTGCTTTGCCTAGTTTTGTTTTGCATATATTGTTTGCTTAGTATTATTTCTGCCTTGTTCTTTTATTGTTTATTACAGTTCTGTAAAATTAATTACATTAAATCATGACCAAATACTATACCACTAAATTCAAGAATCAATGATGTAATCACCAAGGCTATTGCCCCATCGGCATAGTGAGTAATCTGAGGCACTATTTTGTATCAATTTGTTTATACTAGAATACATAAAAATATGCATATCTTAAAAGATATATTTTCCCATAATAATTACATCTTGTAAAAATATTTATTCAATCTCCTAGCTATTTTGATACACACACAAATCAGATTTTTTTTCTTGATATACATATAATTTGAAAGAAAATATAAACAATTAAAACAAGTAGAAAAATGACTCCAATGAGTATTTAATCAATGTCTAATTCATAAAGTCCCATGAAATAATTGTGTAGCGTTTAGTACACTGGTCTTTGAGAAGGTCATAAAAACTTTCGGAGTAAAATCAAGTAACTAAAATAGAGTTTTGTGTAAAATTTAGTCTAACAATTAGCCTCTGCAATTATATTTCCTCTTCCATAACAACCACTATTCTATTAAATTTATTGAAAATAGAAAGATTTTTAGTTATTGCTCTGATAGTTCATAATAATTTACCCGACCATGTTTAAAATGCCTGAGAGTAGACTCCATGAAAGCAGACACAAGTAGAATTTGGAGAAACAATACCCACTATAAAATTCACTCCCCAAATTTTGTTTGTTGTCTACTGTCAAAGGAGTATGCTCTTAAAAAACATATATAAAATATTAAAAATATTCATGGCCAGGGAAATTATAAACTAGCATATGTGGAAAAATCAAAGAGAGTGAAAAACGTTTTTATTGACAATGTGTTTTGCCATAGTTAGGTAGGTGTCTTTGTGTATATATATATATATATATATATATATATATACACACACACACACACACACAAGTACGATGAGAATGAATAGAGTACAAAGAAGGTTCCAAAAGCAAAATACGTCCACTTTTTTGAAAAAAAAAAAAAAAAAAAAAAAAAGCTCAAGGGCTATACCCTGATCCACCAATCGAATATGAACTACATTAAATTCAAATTTAGCAAAAAAGAAAAAACTGGAAATTATTATCTTAAATATGTCATGGCCAGGAGTTGGCATCTAACAGCTGCCAGACATTAACTTAAAGCCTGATACAGATGGCAGCATAAATGGTACACATATCAGACAATCAACTATCATAAAAAATAAAAGTGGGGAGGGGTAGAGAGGTAATTTCATCAAATGCCAAAATAGTTATGCGCTTTGTGGATTTCCTACTTGGATTGTAAGGTAAAAGGTAGACTGTTTACAATTTACCTTTAATGGTTCCATATATTTACCAAATAATTCTATATATTTAGATTATTTACTAGTTTCTTAAAGAGGCCTCTTATTAATCAACTACAATATATATATATATATATATATATATATATATATATATATATATATATATATATATATATATATATCTTGATCACGGCTTGAAGCAATTGGATATCTAACCACACTGAAGAGCTTTGACACAGTGAAACAGTGTCTGTGGATGATTGTGTGTGTGTATATATATATATATATATAT